GGTCACAGCTGTTTGTTCACACCCACAGTCACAAGCATTCCTTTTAGCCAATGTTCAAGAACAAATTATACTACATAGGTCATGTGCGTACATAGTATAACCACATTGTGCCCATTTAAGTTTGTTTCACCATGAGTATTTAAATAAAAGGCCCACATTGAGCTGAGATCAATCAATATCGCACAGAGAACAGTGCAGCTGTTTTTGCCACTGCAGCAGTGCTCCTCTACTGCAGTGGTTCTCAAACTGTGGTACGCGTACCACTAGTAGTACTTGGGCTCTCTCTGGTGGTACGCGGGAAATCTCCAATTTTTTTTTAGATTAAATATTATACTACTATACTATATACTATCATGCAAAGATGACACGAGAGTTCCCGAGGCTCTTCTGGGAACCGGAGTCAACCAGAAAACGTCTCCCCGAGCGTGGGCCTTAAAACTGGCACGACACTGTCACACTGATGGTAAAAACACAGCTCTTTTTCGCGGTGCCGCTGTGCCATGATCCCAGCCACCATCAATGAGTCGAAGGCCCCCGGGAGAATCGGTGGAGGTGTGGGAGATGCCGTCGGTGAGTCGGGAACTGTCGCCTGGATGCCAGTACAGTTGTTATTATTATCACTCGTTACATCCTGTTTATGACAGTTAAAATAAATAACATTCAAATAAGAAATACTACTGTACTACTCATAAGGGTGGTACTTCAAGAGCCATATATTTTATGAGGTGGTACTCACTGTGAAAAGTTTGAGAACCACTGCTCTGCTGCAACAAAGACAATGCAGCTTGTAGTCTTTTCACTCTTTAATCATTCTGAGAACTCATTAGAGGCAATTCTGATGTTTTCGAACAGGAAAAAAGAGAAATGAAGACACATTAAGACTATTTACACAATGCTTACCCTTACAGATGGCTGCACTGAAGGTCACCCCCAGGGATCAGACCTCACACATATCAGAATAAGGCACAGAAAACAGCAGATCAAGTCGAGCTCCCGTATCATTTTTCCTGTGCTGGACATCATGAGCAGGAAAGCTCTGAAGGAACATTCTTCTCATACATAAACAAGGCTATGTCTGTAAATGAATAAGTCAAGTTAATTTGTTTACAGACACATAAGGTTATACAAAGTCATTTAGATCAGCCAGTTAGAATGTCCTGACTGGAGGTTGATGTCATAGAATATTTCTGACCTTGTACAGCTTATTAAAATGTAACCGTTATAAGCAAATTTCTTTCTTCTGTACATTTAAAAAAA